GGTTTAGGGTTTAGGGCCTCCAAAACAGAACAATGCCCAAAACGCTAAGCCGGAATCCGAACAAAACCCCCTTTAAGCACTATAAACCCTACCCAGCAACCCCTGAATCCTAAACCCCAAACCCAAACCCAAACAACACCCACAACCGCAAACACGAAACCCGAGCCCCCTCCAAAAAGCGAACAACAGGCCTTCTTCTTTGGAAGCCGTCTTTTGACTTCGCTTCCACTCCATTTCTCAGCGACGTCGGGTTTGGGGGATAGGGCTTCGGAGATCTTCACAGGGTTTCATCGGTTCCCAATGGAATTCCGAGGGCTTTCATAGGATTTCGTGGGGATTCATGGGGTTTTGGGCTTTGGCTTCGGGCTTGGGGTTTATGGGGCTCTTCGGTTTTCCCAACAGCGCCAGGCTTTAGGGCTTTACTGGGGGAGGGTGTGGATCTCGGGGTGCTGGGACTGAAAGGGGTTTAGGATTTCGGATTTAGGGCTTGGGGTTTGGATCTTCAGGTTTAGGCTTTGGGATTTGGGGTTTGGGGTTTAGGGTCTTAGGGTTTGGGGCTTAGAAGCACGGGTTCGGGACTTGGTCTTAAGACTTCGGCTGCGGGAGTTAGTGTTGTTTTAGTTTTGGAAGCCACAGTCCGGGTCTTGGGCTCATAATTATACTGCTGATGGACAAAATTCTGCATGACCCAAATATAGTATAGTACCATAAATAAATCCCATAGTTTAGGTATGAAAGGTCATGCAGGATTTGGTCCATCAACCGTATTATAGGGCTTCTCTGAGACAGCACAAAAACCCGGCACCCCCCGTGAGGGTCCAAACGAAAAGACACAAAAGCCACATACATCCGTGGTGCCGGCACCGTATCCTCTCAACCCCAAAGCCTGAACGGAAACCCTCTTGAAGACAAGACCCTAAACCATAAACCCGAAACCCAAAGCCCCTAAACCCACACCCCAAAATCTAAAACCCGACACCGCAAGCAACCCTGATCCGATACTTCTACCATAACACGATCAAAAGTAAAATATATCTACTCGCCTACTCAAGCTATCACCATACTATGTTATGACTATACTGTAACTATACCATAACCATAACGACAGGGCTTCCCGGCTTTTAGAGGGCTTGGATCGCTCTTTTCGGTCCTGGCAGGGGCCGGGCCCAAAAAGGACCCGTAGGATGAGCTTTGTGGGGATTAGGGGTTTGGGGTTTAGGGTTGGGATTAGGGTTTGGTCAGGGTGTAGAGTTTGGGATTTGGGGTTTGGAAGAAAATTGGGGCAACTTGTTCTCGTTGAGTGTTGGTGTTGTTCAGTTTACATAAGGTGGCCCCGAAATTCAAAAGCATTACTGGGGGACCTAACAGACATGGTAAATACAAAACTCTAAACTAACCTAAACAGTGTGTATGAAACCCCGGTGAAGAAAAACCTATCACAACCTAATAGTGGAAACCCTGTGAAAACCGCACCGAAACCCTACCAAACCCTTTCTAAACAATGATAGCACTATCAAAGCCCTACCTTAATGCACCACAAAACCTTGGTGAACAAAAACCTTGAAAAAGACACGCTCCATGTCCCTGAAACGTAGCCCCCTAAACCCTAAACCCTAAACCCCAAACCCCAAACCCCAAACCCTTAGCCCCAGAACCCGAAACCCCAAACCCTAAACCCTAAACCCCAAACCCTAAACCCTAAACCGTAAACCCCAAACCCTAGACCCTAAGCCCTAAACCCTAAACCAAAAACCCTAAACCCGGAACCCTAAACCCTAAGCCCTAAACCCTAAACCAAAAACCCTAAACCCGGAACCCTAAACCAAAAACCCCTAAACCCGGAACCCCAAACCCAAAGCCCTAAACCGTAAACCCCAAACCCTAAACCCTAAGCCCTAAACCCTAAACCAAAAACCCCTAAACCCGGAACCCCAAACCCTAAGCCCTAAACCCTAAACCAAAA